TTGTCCGCTGACCTTTCTATTCAATTCATAACATAGAAATTGTCCAAGAAACACATACGCATAGTAGTACTTTTATTTTTCGGACTTTTAATTCCAAACCCACTCCTTTGCTGTCAGTAACAATTTTGGACTAACCCCAAATGTTCCGCGTTCAACAATATCATGATTGTTGTTAGTTTAATTTGTAAATGGATAGCTTTGTTAATTTTTTAATGTTTTTAATTCTTTTTTTATAATAAACAAAACAATAAAACAATAACATAATTAATGTAAGTTTCTTAATAATTTTATAATTAATCTTAAAACATTTTAGAAATAATGTTATTCTTCTTTTTTTAGAATTATTTAACTCAGTAACCCCATTTTTGCTTAAGTTGCACTGGTTTTTATCATAACTGTAATATATAACTATAATTGTAATATATGTTGATTTAATAAATTTAAACTATTTTAATAAGAAACTAATATTATTATAAATTATAGTTTAAATAACAATAAGGAAACTTCACTACATTATATCGAAAAGAGTGCTATCTAACTCATAACTATGCCAACACGACATCACAAGTATCATTCACTTTTGTCCCAGCGTTTTCTATTGGCATTGTTGGTAATTACATGAAGCATAATTACGTGGAAAACAATCCCCATTTGGGGTATTCACACGAAGGAGCGTATTTAGAGATCTCATACAATGAAGCTAAAAATATATGTACCCGAGCTTCTGATTGTGGTGCATTGTATTCTGGTACTCATTGGGAATATTCTGGTAATGTCATCAAGCGCAACTATTTCCACGACTCCACGGGATTTGGGCAACCTGGCGGATGGTCTTATGTCATTGGAATTTACTTAGACGACAACCTATCGAAGCAAAGAGTCTACCAAAACGTCGTTTCAAATTTTGTCGGTTATGGTCTTGTGCAGGGCTCTGGGATATCCAACATTATTTATAATAACATATTCTATAATTGTAAGACGGGGTATTCGGGAGATTCTAGAGGACCAAGAAGGTATGACACGACTCCAAATGCGGCATACAATTTACTGGATACGATGGTGAACAATAGAGTGTATAGATACGCTTCTCCGTGGAAAGACCAATTTCCCGAATGGGCGCTGTTACCAAAAACGTCAGAAGAGTTGATGAAAGAAGAAAATATTCATTGGCTGTATATGGAGAACACTGAGATATACTGTAATGTATTATATAATAACACATGGGATCATATATTTACTGACGGTTGTAATAAGTATATGAAAAGATGGGGATGAACACTAACTCGAGTCAAGATCCAATGTTTTATGATGTTGATAACAACGATTTTAGAATGAGAAAAGAAGGGGAAATTTACAAATATAATTGTTGGGAGGAAATACCTTATGAAACTATCGGAATTAATAAACAAGACAGTTCGTATAGTGTCTTGGCTGAGTTCTTAACTGTTATGTCTTGTTGTCTGCTCATTTTAAAATAAGTGAACTGTCACTTTTTTATGTTTAATAATAAAATAAATGTTAATATCAATACCACACATTTAAATACAGATTTTCATCATTACAGTCATATTAATTAAGAGCAAGAGAGTATGGTTATTACTATTCTTTCGAAAATAAGCAGTTTTAGCCAAGCAAACCTTGAAACTGTTTAGTAAAACTCGATTTTTGGTTTTATTCTAAAAGAGCCCTCTCTTCAAAGTTACTGCTCTTAAAAGGTTTCACTGTAATTAATTTAGCAAAATACAGAACATGTAAATAATAAAATATAGAACAAAGAAATTAATACATGAAACGGGAAGAACACTTTATTGTCTTTTAAAACATCTAAACAGAAAAGATTGTTTATAAATTATTTGTTAAATTTTATAACTTAATTCTTTTTGAAAAATACCATCAAACAGTAGACCTGTAAATTTTAAGCCAATGTGGGTTTCAAAAAAGTGACTCAAATAAATAAGACTGATGGTGTTGTTTCTCATTTATCGTTCAAGGATTTGTATCATTATTTCTATTACCATAAATATTCATTTTCAAATAAATACGATAAATTGATATTGTTTTGCAATTCTACTAATACGACAACAAACACTTTAAAAGTCTCAAAAATGATAATTAACGATTTTTTTTTATTTTGTGTAACATTAACCTTACGAAGTGAAAACTGGATAAATTTTATCATTGTTTTTTTACTTAAAATAAGTCACTTTTTTTATTTTTGTGTTTAAACTAAAAAGATCTTTAATTAAGATCGGTGTGTTACAACCCAATTTAGATTATGAAAAATCGATAAAAATCGAAGCGCTCTCATGAAAATTTATGTGTATGTCTCGTAACAGCAAGTATTGACTATTTTGAACACATGGAAAACAGGAAACATGGGTCTGTAAAGACCAGTAGTTTGCGCGAAAACTAATCGGTTTCGTGTTTTGAATTTATTTTTAATTATTCTAAAAATAAATAGGATCTACAGTAGGGGGAGTGAGGAGCTTGACCTATACTTTTAATGGTTTATTTATTATATTTAAATAAAAACTATTTTTAATGTTCTATTTAAAAACACAACCTTGACTTATAAGTTATAGTTTATAAACCATAAAAGTATAGGTTCATCCTTAGCATAAAGTCGGAACTTGAAATTGTATTAAAAACGACTTGGGTGTTTGTTAGTTGTTAGTTCTCAATAAAGTCATTGGTAGGCGTTAGTCTTCATGTTTGATATGGCTCTCGTTGTTGGCAATTATTGGATATTCCAAGGCAAACTTTCCTCTTCGGATTTGACCAAATATGTTGGTCTAGGCGGAAGAACAAACAATTCCAAGTGTTCTCTGGTATAAACACCATTGGCTTCCAGTAACAATCTGGAAGCCTCTTTTATAGAAACGAACATTCTTTTAATCTTGCCAATATTGACTCCAACAACACCAGAACGCTTATATGATGCAATAATGATGTTTTTGTTGCTTTGCTCTCTAATGCTCCCAACACCTTTTTGGTATGACGAGCAATGGAAACACAAATATGCTCTCTCAGCTCTCCTTGTTCTCTTAGAACTTGTCATGATCTGCCATCACTATCACTATGTTCTCTCATCCAAAAATCAATTCAAGTCTTCGGTTACTGCGAAATTGGCGTCAATTGATTTCAATTGTCAAAGTATTCAGTAAGCTGGTATTTTAACAACTCCGAATACACAAGCCAAATGGCGAGACGAGTTGGATTGTGTGAGGAACAACTTGTCTTTTATGGCTAAAGGAAATCCTGTCTATGTACAAAGAAGTTGTATTTGTGCTGTTATAGAAACATAATAATTGAAGCTTTGTGAATTAAATTTTGGTTATTTCAAACAATAGAAATAAGCCATTCAATTTTCTTCATAACATTAAAGGGTGTTAATCTTTTTCTTTCAAAATACGTTTTATTTTATTTTGATAAAATAAGAATCTTTTTCTTTGACATTTTTTATAAATTATTTATAGTTTTTGTTATTTTTTAAATAGAACCGGGAAAACTCTGTATAGTAAAAAAGATAATAAAACAATAGGTCAAGCCCCTCAGTTTCGTCAAGCCCCTCACTCCCCCTACTGTAGATAAATCTAATTTAGTTTTCACCTTCCCACAAAAAAGTTGATTCAGTTGACTTGCTAAGTAGTGTAGTCGAAACCGATTCCGGAATCGGCTTTTCTTGAAACATTTGGGAAATATTTTTGATTCCCGAATCAGAAGTTTCAAGAATCAATAAAAAAATATTTGGGGAATTTTATTTTTTTTATCAAATTCCCGAACCGATTCCGGAATCAAAAAATATTCGGGAATATTTTTAACCTCGGTTCGGGAACATCCTAATTCTTAAACTTAAAATTGGTATGTTCCCGAACCAATAAGTTCCCGAACACACAAGTTCCCGAACTTCATAAAAAAATATTCCCAAACTTTTGATTCCGGAACATGGCGGTTCCCGAACCGATTCCGGAATCACCAGTATTATATTAAAAATTTATTAATAAGCAAACTAAAAAAATAACAACTTTGTTTTAATATTAAAATTGATAGATTTGTATAATAATATCTTTGTAAGTGTTTTTTCCATTTGTATCACTATTCAACAAGAAATCATTTTTTATGTTATATTGGATATAAGTATGTAAGTTTTAATTCTGTGTTAAAATTGTTCATTGCAATAATAATTATTTTTTGATTTAATTTATAATCAGTGTTATTACATGTATTTACATGACAAAATAACATGTTGTATTATTGTTGTTTATTTTAATGAGAATTTAGTAATTTACAAAGTAACATTTTAATCAAATTCTGTAATATTATTATAACAAGTTGTTTTTAAATAGAGTTTTTTTCATTTTTTAATAATAATTTTCAATGTAGTTGAAATGCATTATTTTATTTTTATTGTAGATAACTTTAAAAACCCAACTTTACTTGATAAAAATAATCATAAAATAATCATCATTTGTATATATTTACAGATGGACAAAAAAACATATTCATTTTTCATTTACTTCGACTTGATTTTCTTGATTTCAATTATATTAATATAATTAAATGTACGGTATTTTAACCATGAATGCTGAATATACCCATTTGATACTTTTTTGTTCGAAGGGGTAATAAGTATTAAACTTCCTTTGTTTTAATATTAATAACTGTTAGAACAGTATAAAGTTGTATTAATACAGAAGTTTTTTTATTTAACCCGTATCAACAAAAGTTTTAAATTACAATGTTGATATTGGTGTTATTAAACATTTAAATTGTGTCCGTTTTGTGATTATTATAATTAAAACAAATTGTTATAAAATTTCACAAATTATATTCAATGATCAAGAATTTGTTTATAATAAACTTCTTCTATTTAACAAAAAAAACAAATAGAGAATTATATTTATTGTAACACATCTGTTTTTAAATTAATACGTTTAAAATTGTGTTTGTATATTGACATCTTTGTTGTTTAAACAGTTTAAAATAATATAATCAAAAGCCAAAAAAATAAAAAATTCAACTGTAAAAGTCCAACAATTAAATAAATATAGAATGAACATTTAATTATATACAATTATTTTCAATATATAACAGGTTAAACAAAAATATAATATGTAATTTGAATATTTATTTTGTTATTTAAATCTAACTCAACACTTTTTAATAAAATATAAATATTTGGAATTTTTTCACAATAAAGTAGAAGATGCACTTTTTTAATTTGAAAAAATTGTATATTTTGTATATTTAAAACGAAACAAATATAAAATGATTGTCAATTGATTATTTAAAATATATATATTTCAATGACTTCACATAGTCAATAATGTTTATAAATAAATACTAATTAATGAATTTTAATTCATAATAGAATTTAAATTACTTATTATAATCCCAAATAAATTTCTTATTTAAATATCATGTTAACTTACACGTAAGTAACTGTTTTGTGTTTACAAACAAATAAGATTATTTCAACTTTAATAAAGTTGTTCATATTATTGATTAGTCTCAAATAAAATACTTATAAATTATCTTAAATAAAGATGCAAGAAAGGTGGTTGTCACGAGTATTTATAATTATTTTTTTTCAAGTTATTTTGATTCAACAACTTGATCCTTTAAATATTTTTTATCAAAGTGATAAAAATTAATGAATTAATTATTATAATAAAACAGAAAACCCACAAAAAATTACACATTTTCGAAATTACAAATGGCTGTACCTTGTTATCACTTTATAAAATGAACTAATGTGAGGATGTGAGTTTTTAATAATTAAAATTAGAATTATTAAGTTTGTATGTTTTAACATTGTAAGTAAAAAAGAAATAATAAGGTAATTATTGATATACAAACATCAGTATTATTACGTAATGTGACAGATGTGATATTTTGTTATTGAAGCTATTATTGTGTTTTAATTAATTATTATTGGTGCTGATTATTATTATTTATTTATTACAATTGTTGTTGGATTTTTTAAAACATGAGTAACCTTTGTTTTTATTGCGCCTTTTCATATACACAACTTTTTCTGTTGTTATTAATTCAAAACGTTGGTATTATTTACATATATTTATAATCTAAAATTATATTATTAAACAAATTGTTTATTATTTATAATTTCATTTTATAGTAAACTTCTTTGAGACATTGTAAGTCTGTTTTAATTTATATTATTTTTAGTTATAAATAACATCGTTTTTATGACAACTACTTGAATATGATAACCAATGATTCATGTATTTATATTATTCAATATTAAAAAATTA